AGAACAGAACAGAACAGAATAGAATAGAATAGAATAGAATAGAATAGAATAGAATAGAATAGAATAGAATAGAATAGAATAGAATTCTTTATTGGCCAAGTGTGATTGGACACACAAGGAATTTGTCTTCAGTGCAGATGCTTTCGGTGTTTCTCCCTTTCTCTTCCTGCTCAGCTCCCCCTCGGCGAGGGCAGTTGGCTGGCCTTTTGGAAGACTGTCTCCCCCAGCTATTCCTTGCCGAGCGAGTGAAAAAGTCAGACAGGTGTCCCTTCTGTCCATTTACGCTCTCTCTAGGAACCTGGCGTTGAAAATGCCCCGCTTAGAAAACCAAATGTCAGGAGAACGCTTGCAGCCTCCTAGCCCTTTCCATCTGCACCAGTCCTCTGACCAGCTAAAAGCAGGTAGAATCCAAATGTTTTCTTTAGTGACCAGCACTGGGGGGGAAAAAGGGGGATATGTGACTATAACAGGTTAAGTTGCAACGGCACTGGAAAAAAAAAATTGGACTTTGGAACGTTTCCCCCCCGCTTACTGACTGTTGTAACATTCCCTGTGGTCACATGATGAACGTTCAGATGCTCGGCCACTGGCTTCATATTTATGACGGTCGCAGTGTCATTTCATACAGGTAGCCCTCCAGCGGTGGGGTTCGAAACTTTTTACCGCCGGTTCTGTGGGCGTGGATTGGTGGGCGTGGCAGGGTAAGAATACTGCAAAATCCCCCTTCCCTTCCCTGCCCCCCTAACCTGCTTTCCAGCTCCGTTCTCCTGTGCAGGGCAACCCAAGAAGAGCCAGCCAATCAGCTGGGACTCAGGAGGCGGAGAATAGATGGGGGTGGGGCCAGTCAGAGGCGGTATTTGCTGGTTCTCCGAACGACCCAAAATTTCCGCTACCGGTTCTCCAGAACTGGTCAGGACCGACTGAATACCACGTCTATAGCCCTTGGCTTTACAGTAATTTCTTTAGTGATGGTTTTAAAGTTACGACGACCCTGAAAAAAGTGGCCTATTGATGACCCTTCTTCACACTTATGAACAACTTCAGCATCCCATGGTCCCATGATCAAAACAGTTGGCAACTGGCGTGTACTCATGCCAGTTGTGATTCCCCTTTTGTGACCGTCGGACAAGCCAATTCAAACGGGGAGGCCCAATTCACTTAACAACCGTGGGACTTCACGATCGCAGGGATGCGCTTAACAAATGCGGCGAGAAAGGTCGGAAAAACGGGGGCCAAAATTCACTTAACAGCTGCCTCGCTTAGCAACAGAAATTTATTGGCCCGGTTGTGGTGGTAAGTTGAGGACCTCCTGCAGAAGAATTAATTCATTGGCCATTTTAAAATGGCTGATGAATTAAATCTAAAAGATACATGGAGAGAAAGAAATGCCAAAACTAAACAATACACCTTTTATTCAAATAGACATTTATCATGGTCCAGAATAGAAATGATATGGATGTCAACAGAATTACTATCTAATATTCAAGAAATAAATATTGAAACAAGAATTAATTCATTGGCAGCCTGAAGGGGACTCGTTCCAAAAAAATAAATGAAACAATCAGGATATTCCAGGAAAGGTGGAGAACACCTGTTATGGTTACACACACCCCTGTTCCCACCGCCACCTCCTTCGCCTAAGGAATTGTGTGCATAAAAAAAAGAACACAAGCGTGTGACTCAAAGAGGGGTGCACCTGACTAAGCAGAGCTCCCCAGTTGTCTTCACAACAGCAAAAAGAGAGAGAGAGAGAGAAATTCAGGGTTCTCTTGGGTACGTGGATGTGTAAGTCGCCGCAAATTAAGTTGGACCCGAGGCAATTTTGCTGTCTTAGAGTGTCGCTTTTTTGCAGTTGCTCCAATGCAGTCCAGCTGCGACTTGTTATACGTTCATGTATTTGCCATGCACCAAATAAATAAAACCAGTTGCTCCAGAGTGTTAACAAAACATTACGAGCAGACTTGTAATTCATATTAGTGCTCATTTAAAGGCTTCCCTCCTTGTGCAATCATATTTAAAAGGGGAACCTTGTTTCCAAACAATTTGCTAGCTGCCTGTTATCCTTTCTTGCCCCTCCATTTACGGATCTGTTGCATCTGGTTGAAGGACTGCACAATGGATTCCCCCCCCCAAAAAATAGGGGGTGTCTTTGCATGGGGATCACCACCTCCTGCCTTTGAAGGCTAAAGGGGATGGTTGCTCTGAAAAATTATTCATTACAGTCAATTTCTGAATTCCCTCCCTCTGTTTTCACAAGGTTCATTTCACAAAAGGGATGTGTTTGAATGAGGAGATTTTTTTGGGGGGGGGATCTCCCATAAGCTTTCCCCCCAAGATCCTGCCTATTTTTATTTTCTGCACCTTTGAAACTCGGAGGCCTCACCTGCTCACAGGTGGTCAGGAGTTCCTCACTGCAAATTTAGGAATCAGCTGCAAAAAAAAAAAAGTGGAGATACTCAACCTCGTTTGAAATGCTCCCCCAACTCCGTCAGAACCAAGTTGACAAGATCCTGGCTTCTTCTAACAGCAAACCCTAATTTATCTTTCTCTGCTGTGTCCTTGGAGCTCTCTGAGCTTGGCAGATGTTGCATGATCAAACTAAGCAACATCTTCAGTGAAAACCTACTTCCTACTAGCACTGATGATGTTACTTAGTAGGGTAATGAAACGTCTGCAAGAAAACCACCAAGCTCGGAGGGCACCAAGGACCCCACAGTCCTCCTCCTCCTTTTCCTCTTCCTCCTCTTCTCCACACACACCACTCCTTTCTAGCACTGATTCTGTTAGCTAGTTGGGTAATGAAACGTCTGCAAGAAAACCACCAAGCTGTGGTTGGAAATTGCACATCTGTACACCTTTCTAGAGATGTACACTCCAAGGAAGGAGAAGCACTAGCGCAAATGAGTGGAACTTTTATAACTTGGAAACCTTTTTCATACTAGCAGATCAGGAATCCTGAGAACATCTGGCTTAGAGCCCCCTTCCCCAGCTGCCTCTTCCTCAATTTGCTTCTTGTTTGAGTTCAGCTGACTTAGCTAGCCTGGGAAAAAAATAAAGTTTTGTTTTTCATTAAAGACAGACATATCTCCGTTAGAAAGCAAAAACAAGGCACACATAATTATATTAACTTTATTAGAGGTCTTCCAAGAAATAGCCAAAGGAACAGTGTCAGTGCTGTACAACTCCCCCGCCACACTTACACACCGACCCACACTCCCATGCACACAAAATTTGCATCAAGTATCCTCTAGCATTGCTACAACACAATCGCAACCTGAACTGCAAGATTTGAGATCCAATATCACTTTACAGTTTGCACTCACATTAAAGCCAACAACACACCGACTCGGACACAAACACACACCTCAAAAGTACAAAAACAAACAACTGGAATTGAAATTACAGTCATAACCAACCAACCCCCCCCCCCCCTTTACTTCAACAGCCATCCAGAAGCAGCTGATGTCAAACAGTTGGGATCGTTTACTAAATTAAATAATTTCTTTAGAAAAATTACCTCTCCCCTTGCTGCAAGCAAACACATTTAATTGCTTATTAAATAGAATATCAGACAAGCCAACAAAGACCCTCCTGTAAACTTTACTAAACGTTGGCGGTTGAACAGTATATATTTTTATATTTTAAATTCAAGTAACAAAAGTAGACCATGGGTTATCCCGGCCCATAGCAACACCGAAAGTGTGAACTAGAATTGTGTCTGCTGCCATCCCATTG